CTACGCGATGTCGCGCACTAGTCTGATCCGACGAATTACGGTGAAGCAACCGCGCGCACCTGTGCACCGTGCCAATGCTTGCGCGCGCTTCGCCGAATAAAAAAGCGAACTACTAATTTGAATTTCCTTCATTTGTCAATCTCTTCAAAACGACAGCTTGCCAGAAAGGATATTTTTTTACAGGGAGTTTAGTCCCCTCACTATCTTTCACCCAAGTATGTTTGTCGACAATAATTACGCCGGTTACTTTTTGGATAGCTGCAAATGATGGACTAATGAGGACACAAAAACATAGAGTGTCTGGGTGGTTTCGATTGCCCCAGGGAGTAATAGGCAGAATAAAAAAGCGAACTTCTAATTTGAATTTCCTTCATTTGTTAATCTCTTCAAAATGACAGCTTTCCAGAAAGAATATTTTCACAGGGAGTTTAGTCCCCTCGCTATCTTTCAACCAAGTATGTTTTTCGACAGTAATTACGCCAGTTACTTTTTGGATAGCTGCAAATGATGGACTAATGAGGACACAAAAACATAGAGTGTCTGGGTGGTTTCAATGCCGCGGGGAGTAATAGGCAGGGTGGTTTGGGGCAGTGACTAAAGGATTGCAACAAGGTACTCATTTACACACAGCAAGGTCACAAAAACTTCAGTCGATGAAACCCAGAGATCACATCTCTGGAAAGGTGGCCAACAGTTCACCTTCAATACACAGGAAATGCTAGGCAGTGAATCACCGACCCCACGCGACAAGGCCCATGAAATTAATCCTGGAGATTAATAACTACGCATCTAAAACACACCTTTTTTATACCCATAACCATGAACTGAGGTAGCCATGAATCCTTTCCAAAATAGAACAAGTCTAAATTTGAAACGTGAAGAGAAGAAATCATTCCTGACCCTGGAGCAGACCGCCAAAAATGCGAATTGACTAGAGTTCATACAGAACAGTGAAGGACTAGGGTTGAAAATACATTCATCCAACCTTGAATCTTTGTACATGTACTTAAAAGTACATGTATTTCTACAACAACTTAAGTTCAGCAAACTTGCAGGATGCTTTTTATGCCCTGGAAAAAACTTTGGTTTTCACAAACTGATGTTCAGGATGTGGTTCAGAAGAGATTTATTGGGTCCTTTATTTTTGAGTTCACTTTTTGTCCTGCCACTGTTAAATCTGACATCTGTGATTTCACAGCTCTGAATGCACTTCTTAATATGCAGTCGTCCTGCAAGAGTGATTGTGAATAGCAAACTACATGCCCAACTAATAACAAAATTGGGGGGGGGGGGGGGCTTGACACCACACTACACTATGAGCGCTCTTCAGGATAAAGATGTATCAATATGTCTACTCTCACTTAAATGTTTAAAGCTTTTGTACTTTGTTTTTCCACTTTTCAGTGCTATTGAATACACTTTAGTTGTTGCGACATTCAGAAAATACCTCAAAATCCGCCTTTTTAAAACATTTCTCATCACCAAAAAGTGGGGTGGGGAATGATTCAATTGACCTATCGCGGTAGAATCGCATTAGAATTGCGTCAACGCAGCTTGTGAAATATTGTCAGATTACATGATATACAAATGGACACGGAACGCACAAAATCTGAGACGAACAATACTTCTACAAGTTCTAGTGTACAGAAATTCCCATAGGGTTGTCCAAGGGGCGTGGCTAACTCGCAAACGGCGATAGGTCAATAGCCATATCCCCCTGGTCAAAAAGTTGGAGGGATATTAGATAAACCTCACAGTATTACATCATTATTCCATCTTCAGTCCTCATACAATGGCCCATTTTTTCCCCAGCAATCTTTGTCCGGTGCTGAACAGATGTTCGGGCTCAACCTCAGCCCCCCCCCCCCCCAACATCTCCAGGGAGTGGGCCTCTTCATAACCCTTACGGCACTCTTGCATTTATTGTATGATCTGTAATCGGGAATGACTACTGGTTGGACACTAACGAATCATTTCCAGCATGCGGCCACGTGGCTGGGGCCGACGACAGACGGGTTAATGTATAAAGGGGGCTAAGATTAGCTGCCGCGAACCGGACTAAAGGGGATTCCATGAAATGCGAAAAAAAGCTGATCAAACTCTCCCTGCACCTTACAAGTATGAAGGTAAGTTTTTTGGTCTGTTAACATTTAATTTTATAAGTGACAGTGTGTCAATTTGTGTGAAGACCTTAAGTTTTTACCTACCTGCATAAGTTTTAGATGCACAAATGTGAAAAGTTTTGTTTATCAAAAATATTTCGTGAAATAAAAGGCGATCGAAAATAAATCTATCATGACTGATTCCTTTTTTTAATTGTTTGTTTGTTTGTTCGTTTATCATTAATCCAAATTAGAGGACCTAATGTTATGATCCTTAGCTGGACCTTTCTTGAAGTCAAAAAGTGATTTCAGCTTAAAATTAAATTATTGTAACTTCTGCTTTGATTGTTTTTCAACGCCATTGATATGCAGTGCCAAATGCATGTTATATTAGGGTCCATGAAATGCAATTCCAATGCCAATTCAAGTTTGCAAATTAAGAGCAAAAGTGTGATGTTATTACAGGCAGAAACCTCAATGAACCGTACATATATGTTAGCTATTTCAGCACCAACATTTGCCAGAATTTTGAATATTTTGCCGTCATAAATTTTCTGTTCTTTGGTGATTCATTGGGTTTTTTCAGTGCATGATAGTTAGTACATGTACCAAACATGTAAGCCAATGAGCAAAGTTTTCCCACAAGTTTACGATTAGCAAATTTTCAGTTCACAATTTGAACAGAAAACCCTCAACTGAACAGTGTCTTCCTGAAATGACATCACAGTAACAATGCCCTCATTTGTGAGGAAAAACATGGATTTTTTTTCAATTGAAAAAATGCTCAATAAGATTAACCAAAAAGGGATGTTAAATAATTTTCATACATTTAAGGAGTAGAAAGTTGTACGAAATACGGTTGGTTCCCAAGTAAAAGTCATGTCATGGGCCCTCTCAATTTAGGAAAATTACACGTTGTGTCACAATTAAAAAAATGAGAAAAACATGTAATTCAGTAGATTAAGCCCAAATTTAACGTGTGTGTTTAAATTACATGTTATTTCCCCTTCATCTTGCAGAGTCCTTCAAAATGAAATAAAAACCAGAACCCAGGAAAAAATACAAAATGCCCCTAATCCTCTCCCCCCCCCCCCCCCCACACCCCCCCCCCCCCAAAAAAAATAAGGCATTCTTAATTACATACATTGCGTGCTCGGGCCCCATCAGATGGCATTACCGAATATTTCTTCACTTTGCGCAAGAATTTCAAAGCACCCTGGTTAGCATTCGCAACTTTTCCCAAAGGACGGGGGAACAAGGTTTCTTGAGTTTCACTGGTCAAAATTCCCCTGTGATTTTGGGAATTTACCCTTTGGGGAAAACGCAAGAGTTTTTCAGGGGGTTTAGAAGGGGCGTCGTGGGCAATTCCCCTAATTTCCTACCAATTAGGAGGCAAGACAACTTGTTGCCACACGATGACAGACGCGTCAATCGCACCAATATTTCAAACGACAAATTGACTAATTTTTTGGGAGTCGAAAGACGGGCCACAAACTTTAAGATGGATGACAAACGGCGACAAGAGGAGATGATCGATTTCTGGTTTGCCAAAAAGAAAAAAAAGGGGACGCCAATCTCGAGCGTGGTGACCACTTTTTGAAAATTGAGAAATACCCGACATTTGGTCAAGGACACTTAAAACCTGTTTTGTGAATGCAACGAAAAAAATCACTGGTTTAAGCCACTTGTAGTAATTCCTGGAGAATGGCAACAGCCCCCTCTCCTGTTCAACCAGTGCCAATGTGTATTGGAATTTTATTTATGGTGGTAAAGAAGAACGCCCTCTGTTGGTGATAATAAGCCAGTACATAGTCCACACACATTATTGGATTTATTTGATAAATGTATTTTGTTAAAAGCATTTCAAGGATGTACCTGTACGTCCACCTTCCGAGGAAAATGATAAATATATTAGATGTATCAAAATAGTCTCCTTAAGTAAAGTGACATGATTTTTTTTAAAACTTTCTGTCAACTTCATGCTTTGTTTACAGAGCAATTAGATTGAAAGCGATGTGCCTAAAAACAAATTTGATGAGAATGTTGTTTTGATGGAATTTTTTCAAGGCTGTAGACATTTTGAAGCATGGTTTGGTAATGACGTACGTTATTTTAATGTGTTTAATACAACAGTAAAAATCTAGGTCGGCGAAGTGCATCACAATTATTATCCATCAGGAATATGCAACCATGTTTTCTGCAAAAGCTCGAGATCAGCACAATCTGGTCTCTACCCTCACAGGTAGCATATATACTCCTGGGTGGAGAGAGGCAATTGTAGTAAAGTGTCTTGCCCAGGAACCCAACCACCATAACTCTCTACAGTTACCCCTGTTCATCAGGCCATGAGGCCATTTTTTTCTGCAGCAGCTCGAGATCAGCACATGGTCTCTATACCCTCACAGGTACTATATACTCCTGGGTGTTGAGAGGCAATTGTAGTTAAGTGTCTTGCCCAAGAACACAATCACCATGATCCACTTCATTTACCTCTGTTCATCGGGCAATGTGACCAGATTTCTGCAGCAACTGGAGATTGGTGCATTCTGGCCTCTACCCTCACAGGTACCCATTTATATTCTGGGGTGGAGAGAAGCAATTGTAGTAAAGTTGCTTGCCCAAGAACACAAGCACCATGATCCCCTTCAATTTACATCAGTTCATCATCCGTCAGGAGAGATATTCAAACAAAAATTGCTGACGACGCCTGATTCTCACGCAAAGACGCTGCAATGCCACTTTCAGAATAAAATAAGGCGTACGTAATTACGCTACATGCGCACAAACCAAAATGCACGCGGCGTGTTCCGTCCACTGGGCTCTCAAAAGTGGTCGAATAGCGCCCTCTTTTTCTCATGCACAGCACCCATTAAGGAAAAGTTTGATTTGAACACTCACCTCCTGGTTGGGTGGGAAGATGTCCCGGACGTCCGGTATGCGGGATTCCTGTCGCTGCTTGTTCCTTAACGTCTCGTTGACTTTCTCTACTCGCTTCTTGACTGCCTCTGCCTGGGTGCGCGTCAGCGTTGAGGTAGCCGTGTCAAGAAGGAGGTCATCTAAAATCTGCCCATCTGCAAATTTTTTTAAAAATATTTTCCATTTTATGAGCTTTTTTATGGAAACATCTACATGTAATAACCATGAACCAATTTCATTGGTTTTGAAGCAGAAAATTATACTTAAAACATTGTTCTAAATGCTAAGCGAAAATTTCACTCACCATGGCCCAATTTCACGGCGCTGGTAAGCACACGCTTTTCTGCTAACAGAGCCTCCGTCTATTTAATGGAGACCATAAGCATAAGCACAGCAAAAGGCACACTTACATGTACATGTACTTCAGAGGAAAAATTTGCTTTTTAGAACTTATATAGTGACGTAACAATAGAAATCTCCATGCACGCGCGACCGTAAGCACACACATAGTGTTTAAGGTTAGCACGTTTTTCTGCTATGCTAAACACAACTTTTCTGCTAACTCTTAAGCAGCACCGTGAAATTGGGCCCTAGGCCATGTTTATGATGCTGCTTAACAGTTAGCAGAAAAATTTTGCTAACCTTAGGCACTATTTCATGGCAGGGATGTGTTAACCGTTGCACCGTTACGTTCGTGATTTAAGCAACTTTTCCTTCGAGGTAAGCGTGCCTTTTGCTGTACTTACATGTAGTGCTTATGGTCTCTATGAAATAGACGGAGGCTCTGTTAGCAGAAACCGTGTGCTAAGCAGCGCCACAATTTCACAGCGCTGCTAAGCACACGATTTTCTGCCAACAGAGCCTCCCGTCTATTTCATGGAGACAGTAAGCATAAGCACAGCAAAAGGCACGCTTAATTCAGAGGAAAAAAATTGGTTTAACTCAGTGACGTAACAATAGAAATCTCCATGCACGCGCGACCGTTAGCACATCCACGCCGTGAAATACCGTAGGGCTTAAGGTTAGCAAATTTTTCTGCTAATTTACATGTTTGCTAAGCACAAATTTTCTGTTAACTGTTAAGCAGCGCCGTGAAATACGTCCCTAGCCATAGAATTATATTTGTTGTCACAAATAAAAAAACAACCCAAAACAGGCCAAAACGACCGACAGTGCTAAAATATATATTTGAGATTTCAACGTCGATAAAATCTTTTATCAAACTGAAAAGGTAATATACCCCTTATCTTCAACTACATTTACACATGATGACAATTCCAGAGTTCTGTAAGTCCGTGACGAACTTTTGAGAGCTGAGTGAATAAACTTGAAAATATATGTTTCAAATCTTTATCATCCATCATCTGCAATAGTAATGGTCAAAGAGATTACAGACTAGGAGTTTTGGATCGTTTCTCTGAATCATTAATTAGATATCATGGTTAATTGGCTCAGTCACGGACATTACACTTCCTTTCATAACGATGGAAATACCCACATGTACATGTACAAATATGATGCCACAAAACCACATTAAAGAGGTTGTGGAATGCTCGAAGACATTTCTGTCATTTTTCGGGTATACATGTATGTAGCCTAAGGTGTGATGAAATAAAAACGACTATTGTGTCTGTCATGAAATGAGTACAAAAGGTACTTTTGAGAGCTGTTTTTCAGGTCCTGTTTCGACCCGAACGTACTACGCTGCATCGGGAGTCCTGTTTATTACGTCACGATTTACTATGTTTTGTTTGCTGCCCCCGACGACGACTTTTACACAAATTGCACGTTCGGGTCAAAACAGGACCTGAAAAACAGCTCTCAAAAGTACCTTTTGTACTCATTTCATGACAGACACAATAGTCGTTTTTATTTCATCACACCTCAGGCTACATATACCCGAAAAATGACGGAAATGTCTTCGAGCATTCCACAACCTCTTTAAATTTTAGAAAGTTACAACATTCCAATTTGAGATTTCAACGGTAAATTGAAGAATTTCTTAAAATCTGACAACTGACAAAGAATAAAAATCTTTGCATCGCATAATTTGAACTACAGTGAAATCTCGATAAGTCAAACTCTGATAACTCAAAACAACTGCAAACAAAGAATCCATCGCCTTCATTAGTATAACAATATACAACCCTGCTTAGCTCAAATTTTAAACCTGTTCCCTAGAGGTTCCATCAAGATTTCACTGTATATCTGAATTGGATGAAATGCATCCACACAAAATGCATCGAATTTCAGCTCCAAAAGTTCGAGAAGGAAATGCCACAACAAAATAAACCGACGCAATTTCCTTCTGACGTCAAGAGGTCATTAAAACTTACTACACCAAAGTAGCGTCGGCGTTTCAAGCACGTACCTTTGAGAGAGTCAGCTATGGACGACAGGCCGGCTTCCTTCAACCACCGCAGTTCCGGTTCCCCTGGAAGTTACACAAAACACAACAGAGGGATCAGACGATTGTACACATTGGCCTCACGATGAAGGCCTAAACAACTATGGGCCAATTGAAGTATAGATCTTTTGGGCTTGAAGCCAACTGAATTTTTTTTTTCATCTTTAGTAGCAAAAGCAAAATGGTAACAGTATTTTTTTTAAATACATTTACCCTTCAATGTTGGGTTTTGCTCTTTGCCAACGACATTTAAAAAAAAGTATTTAGATTTCGACAAGACAGCTGACCTCAGCAAGTAACACTGGTTGAGTTGTACTCTGTTTAACATTTCAAAATCCAAAAAAAAAACCTCTCGTTTTGGGATTTCTTTTAAGGATATTAAGAGATTAAGGGTACATGTATCGTACATGTATTTAGTATGCAGAGTGTGTAATGCTCAGACAAAATGACGGAGCTTAATTAATTTGGATCTGTCACATAAATGCAATAATAAGAACATAACATTTGTTGAGACATGGTAAATGATCAGTACATGTAAAGTTATATTGTCCGTCTTGTCAGAATTTCACAATGGTTTCATATTCAAAATTCCTTACAGCATGATGAGAGGTCTTTCAGTCCTTCTGATTTTAAAATCACAGGCGTGTGGAAAAAGGCACGCCTGGAATTTTCTCGGCGTGTGATTTTTCTAGGTGTGTGATTTTCTAGGTGTGTGATCTGTGGTGCAGGAAAATTCAGGCGTGCAATTAATCACACTTCTCGGGAAGCTTTTAGGTGTGTGATGGTGTGGGGGTGTGATCGCACGCCTCAAATCAGAAGGACTGGTCTTTTCAAGGTTTTGAATTCCTTATTTTTTTCCCCCCGGTTGTTGTTCTTTGTTTACTGCTTTATAAATGAGTAATAAACACAATTATGGTCATGTTATGATGGTGAAATTTCTATTAATTTTTTTATGAGGTTTACATGTACCGGTATGTGTTATCAAGCAGACTTTAATGTGACAATACTTGAGCAATATATTGAGAAATATTACATATTTTTTTACAAATTTCCGTGTTCCTCTCATTAATACCCAAAAGGCACAAATATCACACAGCGCACCTTATCTGTTTATGTACTGGTACGTGTACGTGCATCATAAGTTTCTGAGAGCACGCAGTACACTTTGAGAGCAGTACACGTTGCCATAACACAACCTACATGTATCATGCTCCGACAGCCCTCGGTGAAGGGCCAATTAACGAAATTATCTGATTGCAGTGTCAGAATCGCCTTTGTCGTCCCCGACGCTTCAACGTCGGAGAGAGTTAATGATTTACATTAGAGCACTCCAATCTAGCAGCTAATATCTAGCAGCTGTTGAGAGTGTTTTTCACGGCAATTCAGGATCGCGTATTGTGATGGACTTATGAGGGCTTGAGTTTCAAAAAAAAAATCAATTTAGCGTTACTATGGTGAGACGGGTAATTCACGGCGCTTTTGCAGAGACAGGGGGAATTCAATTTTATGGCTACTAGACATTTTCTGGGAAGTTGACGTAAATTTGCTATGATGCACGCTAATTTATTAAATGTTTTTACTATCGCAAAAACTCTTTTTGGCTGGTATCTGTAGGCACTGCTATGTATCATATGTATGCACCGGTACCGTCTATTGGATTCGAACCAAACAACGGTCTATAAGGCATTATGGGCCATTCTACACTAATGGGCCCAAAAGTGTGACATTTGAGAAGACCTTTTTGAGTTTTGATAATAAAACTAGGATCTTGGTCTCTAAATTTTTGCTGTAAACATTGCAAGCTTTGAACAAATATCCTCACCTGCAAAGGATACCGATAGAACTGGTTTTGTATTTTAGAAAATACGATGGATATTGTTTTTTATAACACCTCACCCTCAGATTCTGTGTCTTGATTGGCCGAGATCGAGTCACATGTTACTTTCTATGTTTCGCTATCTTTCTGTGCACAGCCAAAAGTACTATACCCGTAGCAACCAAAGTACTATACTATTAGCAACCAAAGTACTATATCCACAGCGCGGTACTGTATTTGTGTGCAAATGCATGCTGGTGTGTGCATTCTGCGTATTGTTCCAAAGAGAGCGCGCCGCAGAGTTGGGTTCAAACATTTCGTGAAGGGGTAGTTTGGAAGAGAGAAATACATTTTCCACCAATTTGTATTGAAATTGAAGTTTATTTCAACTGTGTTGAGATTTAAATAATTTAAAAATTAAAACCAAGCAGAATCTGTGGGAGAAGTGTTATAAAACAAATATTGAATGCTTTATCTTGTGGTGAAGTAAAACTAGCCCCCCTCGGTGATCCGTGGAGCATTCTACATATATTTTCCCTCGGCTTCGCCTCAGGAAAATAGAATGTCCATGGATCACCTCGGGAGGCTAGTTTTACTACACCACTCGAAGCATTCAATATTTGTATATTAAGGTGTTACGTACAATGTACATGTACATTATGTACATGTACATGTACTGGTACGTAACAAAGGACAGATACCGGTATTTTAGATAAAGTCACAAAGTAAGCATAACAATTAATGATCCCCTAATGTTGTCTGATTTCCAAAGATGTACCCTGGAGGAATGCCATCAGTCAAAACCTAGAAAACTCAGAGCCAATGTGAAGAATTATTTCATACAATGTACATGTATTTTATAATTAGGATTTATACAATTGTACGAACAGACTAGACATTGGTCACAAAATGTCTGTCCCTGTCTGTACGTAACCCTTATCACATCATAACTTTGAAGCCAGTGCAAAAACTGTTTTATTTTCGCATGATAGCAATGTAAATGGGTTGATAATGCCAAATGAAAGTGCCTATTAGAAGCTGAATTCATCCTAAGCACCCTTTTCCTTGCAGTGTGTCTGTCCATGTTACGTACGTAATTTTCTCAAATAAAAAAGATATCATCTCTTGTATTTTCTTGTCCTAGCCACTTTCAACTTAGCAAGGTACATGTATAAGAAAACACTACATGTACATGAAGCTCATCTTTTACCCTTTAGATACAACATCCATAAACTTACCTAATTGGCCCATTAGTGTGGAATAGCCCAGATACGTGCGCTATATAAGACTTCGGTATTCTTCTTATTATTACTTATGATGTACTTAAGATCCGTCACAAGTACCTTGACTACAACATTGCTTACCCTCCGGTGTCCTTGCTTCGTCATCCTCACCGTCCGTGGCCGAGTTGGACCCGTTACTCTCCCCGCTCTTACTGGCCTGTTGGATCTCCTCCAGCTCTGAGAAGTAGGCCTCAAAGTCCGCCGTGTTCTTGCCGGTCCTGTCCCGAGGTTGATGCATCTTGGTTAAAGATTTTTTGTTCCGTCTTTTTGATCCGAGAAGGCAGGAGGAAGGATGCAGCCGACGATGCGGTTGCTATGGCAACATAGAGTCGCAGCCTTCTTTTGACGAGATGCCGGTTGCTATAATTAGCTTGAGTGTTGTGCAAGGAATCTGGGGGGGGGGGGGGTGGAATTTCAATCAAATTAGAAGGAAAACATGGTGGAGATGAATTTGTTAGGAAAAAATGTTGCAACCTGACGCCACTGTTTTCTTCATACATAAAATGTATTTACATCTCAATGAAGGTCATTCATTGCAAATATGATGACAAGACATTAATCTGGGACTGAGAAACATGTCAAATTTTTTGAGGAAATACTTAGAAAATTTTCTTGACTCTCCATATCTAGACAAAATTACGGAAGTGGCGTCAGGTTACAACATTTTTTCCATTTGTTACAAGATGGAGTCTTGAATTGTTGAAAGTACCTACATGTACAGTATTCAAAGTTCATGTGTTTTTTTTATTCACTGAAATAATAATTTGTGCAAAAGAGGCATGACCCATTGAAGCTGTTCAAAAGTACATGCACCTGGTAAAGATTACAATTCACCTGTTTTTCATGTGGATTCTGAATGAACCTTGCGTCCAAACAGATGTTACAAATGGAAAGATTGTTGTTAACCTTCGGTTTTCAATATGTTTGGCATTTGCACAAAGTTTACAAGTAGTCAACATGCCTAACAGTCCTACCGGTAAATCTTCCAATGTTTATATGGAAATTGGAGGATTTAGGGTTAAGCTTCACACAGAATTTATCTGTTAAAGGTAGAGTCATTTGCAGCTATCCAAAAAGTATTGCTGTTGAAAAACATACTTGGTTTAAAAATAGTAATGGCACTAAACTCCCTGTGAAATTATTCTTTCTTGCAAGCTGTCATTTTGAAGAAAACAATCAAAGAGGGTAATTTCCAAAGATGTGTCTACAGACAAATTTTGGGAAATGTCTGTCAGTTAGCTACATTTGTAGTTCATTTTTAACTCGGCAAAGCCAAAAATGGTCCCGCGCCAGCATTGACACGATGTACATGTACCGGTACGCATGCACAGTCGGTGTAATTCGTCGGTTCAGTGCGTGAGGTCGCGTACCTGCAATCGGCTGTATGAGAACGTGTCCCAGACGCTGATTTTGGGCGCAATTCAAAACATGACTCAGCAACTTTCGAATTGAAATCGAGATCCTTGAATATTGATTTCTCAGAAATACAGCATTCACTGAGCTAAAACTTCATCAGGTTAGTTGTTAAGCACCTTTTTCCAGGTTTTGAGCACTTTACACGTAAGTTGCTTCAAACGAAAAAAATGCACAAATTACAAATGATACCCGGTACTCTACCGGATACCTTAAGCAAAATAAATCTTCTCAGCACAGAAAAGTTTGCTTCGCACAAACAGGTTACTAGCCAAAATCTTATTGACATCTATTACTTGTGACTGGTACTCAACTGCATTCCTGCTTAGCAGTAATTTTTCTAAGCAATATTTCTTCTGCTTATCTGCTAAACAGCTTCATGAGCTTGGCTCCAGCTGAAAAAGTCCTAATAAACATGTAGTACACCTGTTATTTAAATGTACATCATGTACATGTACGGTACATGGCAACATTTCAAATTTCTAGCTGCTTGTAGAAAATCAAATATTCACAATTTGTTACGTGTCAATGAAATTCAAACCAAATCTGCAGTGCCGGAATTATTTTTGCCGCATAGTTGATGTGACCTTCTCCAGTAAATAAAATCTGATCACACTTTGAAAGCATGTGAAGATGTTGCCATGACAACCCGGCACCGGGAGATTGAGCATTCACAATTCCTTCAACGCAGTCCGTGAGGATGCTTGGAATTGAATTATGAAGGGACAGAAAAGACCTTGCATTTTTGTTTTCAACAAAAGTAAAAAGCTCATAATGTATAGTGTGCTCATGAATGAAAAAGTACATTATTGACTGTAATGTTGAATGCTTAAAATTGTTGAAAATGTACGCAATATTCAATTTACATAAAAAAAAATACTCCACAAATTCTCCGAATCAAATATATTGTATGTTCACGTACCGGTATACATGAACATTTGTACTATATACAGTGTGCTCTGATTTGGAGAAATTGTGGAGCATTTTTTTATGTAAATTGAATATTGCGTAAATTTTCAACAATTTTTTAACATTCAACATCGCAATCAACACTACCCTTCAAATTTGGGAGGTGAAAAACTGATCCATCTAACTTTTTTTACCTACACAATACTTACTTACAGCAGAATTAATATTATATGCAGGTATAACATCCGATTACTATTAGCTGGTAAAACTCCAAATATTCCTTCAATTAAGTCTACATTCTCTGAACATGTTTGTGCCCCCAAATTGAGCATTGAACAACTGGTCCAAGAACTGTACAGCTCCGAATGTTATACAACTTGAACAAACTTACATTTAGGATGTTGTTTAATGTTTCCAGCTGAAAATGTACAAAGTATGGTACAAACACCGTACTCCACAAATATATCCAGACGTCAAGTCCAAATAATCCACAAATTCTCCAAATCAAAGCGAATAATCCCTTTAGGTTCGAGAGTTGAATGACTGGTCCAAGTACATGTACATGCTTTACAGCTCCGTAGACTTGTAACTAAAATACTACAAAGTTGCACCCAAAGTTGAACATTAAATGCACATGTATGTAGGTTGAGTATGCAAACAATGTTTATATACACTGGTGTTCGCATGCATGAACAAATCCTGCTTGTGTTCATGTACAGCAAACCCAAACCACCACAGGACATCCTTTGGTCACCTTATATTGACACCAAAACATCAGTCCGGCCTTCAAAAGTCCGGTACCCCGCGCGACATCCTCGTTGTGTGAGTCAGAACCAGACATACATGTAGACCACAGCAACAGCAGAGACAGGAACCAGACCGACAAGGCCCAATTAGCTAATGGAAATCATTAATTTGGACTACACCGTCCGGTTATTAGCAGAACAATAGGCGTCAGCACGTGCAGCCCGTCACCAGACTCGACAGGCAGTTCGGAGAATGCGCAAATTCAATTATAAGCCTGAGTCTGAGATCAGACTATTAGACACCAGAAATACACCCACAAAGTGGGAGGAGTCAGTGGGAAGTGGGTGTATTTATCACACATTTTCTTCCCAGAAAAACTAACCGTGACAGGAATGTATTTTTGATGATACTGAACATGGTGTAACCTCAAAGAATCTGAATCAAAGCGGTCTTTTACGACATTTTGTTAAACTTTGACACCATAGAGATTTTACTATCAGTTGGAAATTACCGTAGCCTTCCATAGACGCTACTTCTGGGACCAAAGTGTGACATTATTTCATGTCCCTGTTACATGTACCTCTGAACTTTGTAATTTGCCATTCAAGTGTCACACAATATACCGGTACCGGTAACTCATAAAAAATGACTTCAGATTAATTTTAAATTTGTCATGTTTGTTGGGTAGGTCGATTGTTTGCTTCACAAACCACTCTTGGAGGAAGAATTCAAGTAGGAATGCAGACAGAATTTAAGAAATTATACATGTCAGATGTTATAGGGACAGGATAAAGTGGGTCCTAGTTTTGTACAAAATTGTAGACTAAACTACTGGTACATTAGGCCCCCAAAAAAGTCTCCGGTTTCTGGTATGCACGCGCGTCGCCGTAACCATGCGCGTCGACAAAATGAAAAAGTTTTTTTTTCAATGAAAGATGATGTCTCAAAACCGCCAAACTCACTGGTTTGACTGGAATCCTGCTGCTGCACAATTTTAACGTGTTTTTAGATTGGGTTATGGTCGAGAATCAGCTTTATGTGGCCTCTCTGGACTCGCAAATATTTGCACTAAGCTTAGTCGGGCACCATTTGCAGTCATCAGCCGACATTTGAAGCAAAAAATCAGGTAAAAAAAAAAAAAAAGCCGCGTCGCCGCACCACTTTTTGGGCAAGCTCCATACCAGAAACCGGAGACATTTTTTTTTTGGCCTTATGGTAAGACGCCTAACCCCCTATAGTAGTCCCTCAGGACTACCCTGCTAAATCCAACAGAGTCCAACCGGAGTGTCCTGCTCAATCCACTGTGCCTTATTTTCAGTTGTCTGCTGAATCCAACGGAGTCCAACATGGCGTTATAATGCGGTTCAGTTGCCTGCTGAATCCAACATTTTGCATCAGGAATGTACACAAGGGGTTAACTGCTCAATCCAACAGGCTCCATCGGGTATATGACATACACGTAGTTGAATCCTGTTGGATTCAGCAGGGTTAGGGTTACATTTTGTATACTGTACATTAATGTATTGATGTACCTCAAATGAGAATTTACTCAGAAAACCCAGTTTACACAGAGCTACATGTTTATTATTAATATTATTAAACAGCAGATTTTCCCATCGCTCCTTCCATCCCCATCCCCCCCCCCCCCCCCCCCCCCCCCCCCCCCCCGTACGGAACATCTCTGATCAACGCTCGTTACCATAATCAGAAGCCGTATTAACAAATTGGAACAGATTTCTTATTATACAATGCAATAATCATCGTCTCCATCCGTCAGAAAACCCATTAGCAAAGAGAGACAGCAGACTAGAAAATCTTGACGTTGTCGCGGGGAGAAAATAGACTGCTCTCCCGACGGGACTTGTTAACTTGTTATTCAGTCGATAACACAATGCAGAGAAAATCAGTTCTCGGCTTTGGGAGATGGCATTTGGCATTAGGCGGATCACGAGAGGCTTACGTGAGATTTTGTTGAGTCCTTTGGGTCATTGGATTATGCATAGATTGGGTTTTTTTTTTCTTGAAAGGCCAGTCAAAAAGGGAGATGTTTTCAGGCATACTCTTACTCAGTAAGGATTCGAAGAGATAATCTTCTACAGGTGACGTGGATTTTTCTTGGGAACATATTTAATGCAGCTTTCTACTCCTCTTAAATACTGTATGAAAACTACTTGACATCTTATTTTGGTAAATTTTATTGAAATGTGCACTTTTTTTACATTTTTGAAATGTTCATACTTTTCCTGACAACTGAGGCACTGTTGCTGTGATGTCATTTCAGGAAGACACTGTTCAGTTTAGGGTTTTCTGTTCAAATAGAGA